TATGTGGCCAAGCCCAGGAGGTTTCCAGGATCATCACTGCTCTTAGGGGGATAGTCCCCAGTGCCAATTCCCTCCTCTTTTTGCTCCGGGGAAGGCGCTAGGCTTCTTCAAGGTGGGTGAGCTTTTCGCCTTTTAAGTGCCCCGCCAGTGGCCTCTGGGTCTCAGCACAAGAGCGCTTCCTTTGCACAGATGAGCTTCGACTTTGTTCAGACTAAATGAATGTATCTGGGAGGGGCGGGGCGGGCTGATCCCAAGCACAAGCCTTTTCTGAGCAAGTGTGCCGGGAGAGGCAGAGCGGGCGTAGAGCGCGGTTTTATTTTTGTACTGACATTGGTAAGAGATGTATAGCATCTATTTATTTAGATGATTTGTCTGGTAAATGAGGCAAAAAATATTTAAAAAATATATTAAAGATGATTTAAAAAAAAAAAGTTCATGAACATTTAATCTTTGCTTCTAATGGTGTTCCCCACTGTGCCAAGGGAAGGGCTCCAGTCCTTGCTGCCGCCTAGCGTTTAGCTCCCACATCCCCTAGTCACTGACCAGGATTTTGGACAAGTCTTTCTGTTTTCTGAGCCTCATAGATTAACTAAAGTGACAGTGGGAACCAGAAGTGTCACTGGGAGGAGCCACCAGCGTGGTGTCCTCAGAGGCCTGGATATGCTTCTGACCTCCTCCCCTTCCCCTGTGTCCCCCCCAAGGGTATTCTCTTCTGGAACACAGTACTGTCACAGGGCTAATGCTCACCTACTGTTTGTTCCCTGCCCCGAGCTTAATACACCTGTCTGGACACTCAGTTGGTCAGAGTGAAAGTGAGAGCCCAAGGCCAGATGTGGTGGCTCATGCCTATAATCATACCACTCTGGCCATGGTGGGTGGATTGCCTGAGCTCTGGAGTTCAAGACCAGCCTGAGCCAGAGTGAGACCCCATCTCTAAAAAATAGCTGGGTGCTTGTAATCCCAGCTACTCGGGAGGCTGAGGCAAGAGGATCACTTGAGCCCAAGAGTTTGAGGTGGTTGTGAGCCACCATGCCACAGCACTCTACTAAGAGTGACAAAGGGGCGGCACCTGTGGCTCAAAGGAGTAGGGTGCCGGTCCCATGTGCCAGAGGTGGCAGGTTCAAACCCAGCCCCAGCCAAAAACTACAAAAAATAAAAATTCTTTAAAAAAAAAAGAGTGACAAAGGACAAAGTGAGGCTCTGTCTCAAAAAAAAAAAAAACCAGAAAGTAAGAGCCCTGCCAGCACATCCCATTTTGGTACAGAAGCCAGAGGGAGTGGGTAGGGTGTTAGGCAGCAGGGAAGAGGCTGCCACAGCTGTCCAAGTGGAAGGTAGTGGTGGTGGCTACAACTGTGGGGGTGTGTGTAGGTGGGCACAGGAGAGGGAATCAACAATATATAACTGGTTCGCTGTGAGGGCCAGGAGGCGTCCAGATTGCACCTGGGTTTCCAGTTTGGCATCTGGGCAGATGACCATCTGGATGGAGGCTGAGCAAAAAGCACCAGGCTCTGAAGTGTCTGGACTTGGCTGGCCCCAAAAGCAGAGCCCGAGACAAGGATTTCCTGTGCAGGGAGTTTATTTGGGAGTTGATCCAAGGAGAGGGGTTAGAATGGGTCAGGGAAGGATAAAAGCTATTACAAGGGTATATTACTAAGCAGTTGGGATGGGATTCTGCTTGGGATCACCTGTACAAATATGTCCCAGAATTGATGGCTCCTGAAGGGTAAGGGGTGGGAGCATTGTCCATGGAGGGCTGGCCCTAATGAATTGAGCCTTGCCTCCGGATGTGCTAACCAATGCCACCAACTTCCAAGCTTTGCACATGCCAACCTCCACCAGTCTGTCACCTCTGTCTGTTGTGTTGGAAGAATCTAGGGTGGGAAGTGAAGACTTGCTGCCAGTAGAAACCTACAGGGTTCTGTCCACCTGCTTACTGCTAAAACCAGAGATGCTAGCCCGAGAGGGGCCCTGGAGGTGTCTGATACATCCACTTCTTACACTGTTCTGCTTTGCCATATTTTTTTGGTTTTGCTTTTAGTAACAGGGTTTTGTTCTTTTGCCCAGGTTGGGGTGCAGTGGTATGATCATAGCTCGTTGTTTGTTTTTTAAGACAGAATCTTTTTTTTTTTTGAGACAAAGCCTCAAGCTGTCCCCCTGGGTAGAGTGCCGTGGCATCAAAGCTCACAGCAACCTCCAATTCCTGGGCTCAAGCGAGTCTCCTGCCTCCGCCTCCCAAGTAGCTGGGACCACAGGCACCCACCACAACGCCCAGCTATTTTTTGGTTGCAGCTGTCGTCGTTTGGTGGGCCTGGGCTGGATTCGAACTTACCACCTTAGGTGTATGTGGCTGGCGCCTTAGCCACTTGAGCCAGAGGTGCTGAGCCAAGACAGAATCTCTGGGTGGCGCCTGTGGCTCAAAGAGTAGGGCGCTGGCCCCATATACCAGGGGTGGTGGGTTCAAGCCTGGCCCCAGCCAAAACTGAAAAAAAAGACAGAATTTCATTCTGTTGCCCTCAGTAGGGTAGAGTGCTATAGAGTCATATCTCACAGCAACCTCAAACTCTTGGGCTTAAACAATCCTCTTGTCTCAGCCTCCGAGTAGCCGGGACTACAGGCACCCACAACACCTAGCTAGTTTTTCTCTCTCTCTCTTTTTTTTTTTTTTTGAGACAGAGCCTCAAGCTGTCATCCTGGGTAGAGTGCTATGACATCACAGCTCACAGCAACCTCCAACTCCTGCGCTCAAGCAATTCTCCTGCCTCTGCCTCCCAAGTAGCTGGGACTACAGGTGCCTACTACAATGCCCGGCTATTTTTTTGGTTGTAGTTGTCATTGTTTTGACAGGTCCAGGCTGGTTTCTTTCTTTTTTTTTTTTTTTTTCAGTTTTTGGCCGGAGCTGGGTTTGAACCCACCAACTCCACCATATGGGGCTGGCGCCCTACTCCTTTGAGCCACAGGCACCACCCTCCAAGCTGGTTTCAAACCCACCAGCCCTGATGTATGTGGCTAGCGCCCTAGCCGCTGAACTACAGGTGCCGAGCCTCAACAGGCTTTTTATTGGTGTTATAAAGTGAACCTTAATTTCTTTTCTTTTCTTTTCTTTTTTGAGACATTGTCTCAAGCTGTTGCCC